TTTCGTTCTCAGTGACCTAGAATTAGTAAAGTTTGACTACATTTATTTCAGAAGCATTTTGGCTGTAGAGCAGTGTAATGTACACTCCAGTGATAGACTTACCCAGTCATACTCATTTACATCAACTCCACAATCAAGCAGCATTTTGACAATATCTGTGTATCCCTTACTACAGGCCAATGATAGTGCACTTTCTCGCCCTTTCCCCAAAATCTGAGCATCTGCACCCTGAAGGAAAAAAAAAGGTAGTTAACAGTCCTATTTAAAAACCTTACTGTCACAGGCTGGAGGGCCCTTTAAGGCAAGCTGCCCATGAAAGGGCAATTAGTGATCCCAGCTGGGTGCACTAGAGTTAGAGTGATAGACCCCAGCTGCAGCTCTAGAGAGAGACTACAGAGGAAGCAGAACTCTACTACAGACAGAAACCCACAGGGATGGAGTGGCGGGTAGTCCCAAAGAGACCCATAGGGAGTAGAGTAGGCTCCTGTGGGAGTGGCCCTGAGACAGGATTTGTAAGTAGAAGACTTCAGAAGCTGAATGGAGCAAGAACTTTATTCAGATTTGTTTGGATTTTCATTTGGACCTTTCAGTTACCTGAACGGGGATTTAAGCTTTATGTGACTTGGCTGGAGGGCTGAGCCACAGAAGAGCTGGTGAGAGAAAGATACTTGCAGGAAGTGCTGGAGCTCAGGATACCAATGACATTATGTACTGACATAAGGCAGAGATCCAAAGCAGAGTGTTCCCCCGCCACATTTGCCTTTTATTTCCCCTTTATGGGGCAATTAATGTTACTACTTTTAGAGATGTAGTAGCATCTGCAAACTTATCGATATAAAATGAACTAAGGATTTTGAGAAGAACTATATTTTCGCCTTACATTCTGAAGCAGAAATTCTACCACTGCTATCTGTCCATGCGCTGCAGCCCACATCAGAGGGGTAAAACCTTCTTCATCTTTATGGTTGATTACATTTTCTGTTTAAAAGAAAAATACAGTTCAATGATCATTTTTGCTGCTGTACTGCAAGTGCTGTTAGAGTAAAGGTTGTGTCAACATTTCTGTTATGAACAGCTGCGTTTATAATTCTACCATAAAGTCCACTCTAGTCTGACATTTTACATACAAAATCTAACCCTGACAGTGACAGAAATACACTTATCTATGCTGCGTGGGGGGAGGGGGAAGGAAAACCTAGCTTCTGATGACTTTCACATTTCCACAAATAAAGCTTTATTTTTATACTAAAATATTGCAGGTCATTTGCCCATAATGTTGACTATGGATCTTTTTGGAGATAGCACAGCAGATGCCCCCAAAATAAACAAACGTTCCATATTAATAGTTATTAGGCAATCTAAAATGTGCTTTTCCAAGATAGTGAGCTATTCTAGTCTCTCAAATAAATAACATGTAAATCTATGAGACTAGAATAAAGAATTGGCAAATTCATGTATTTGATTGGGGTTTTGTGAAAAGGGTTAAGTGTATTCCCAGAAATGAATGGGGGTAGTAAGTGTGTTTTTGTAGCTGATTCATTGGCTGGATGAGTTGAGTTAATTTGTTCCTGATGGATGTTTGTTTTTTCAATGCTGCTGAGTATATTTACATTGTTGTAAGATAAATTAGGTGTCAGGGTGCCCAAAACTCTTATACAGGTAACTTTTTTTTTTTACCATTAGTCAAATCTAAATAAATATATGCTCAAATTTTTAAAAATGAATTTGCTTTCTCTGCATTCCCAATCCTTTGCTTCCTACAAAAGCGAGACAGTTTTACTTGCATGAATGCCCACAAAAAGCAAATTTCAAATTTGTATATTTAAGCATACCACCACCGTAGGCCAACAAACAGATGTCAGATGGTAATGACTTTCAATAACTGCCTACGATGGCCAGATTCGTACCAGAGAAGTTAATGTAAATGTTTGTATAGTCTGTTGAGCCAGCCAGTGAGTCATCCATATTTATGCTAATGTAATTACTTAAAAGGAGTGATGTACAGTATAATGGATGCTATTTCGCAGTTTATTTTACAGAAAATAATATCCATTATAAAATTACAATAGTTTCACTACAGGATATTGCATAACTCAGATTTGGAATGATAAGCAGTGAAGAGCTGGCTGAAACTACAATATAATGCTGTATAGGTTAACTGATAAAATTATGACTATAAATACACACTAGTGGGAATTTGTTTCAAACTATAAATGCAGTAAAGAACACTACGGTTAAATCATCTCAGAACTAATTTGCAGATTTTTGCATATCTCACCTTCACAGTTTATCTATATGCAGTCTATAGGGTTTTTTCCCACTGCTTCAGTAGAAAGGATTTACATGTAATTCCCATTAACACTAATGTTACTTTGCGCACCCAAACTGCAGTGATGGGAGACTAGACAGCTTTAAAGATACAGACAGATATGAAAAAATCCATATCCATAAAGAATGGATATCATGAGTTTATGGGGTTTGTGACAGATCTGTGGGGGATTTTCTATGCAGCTGATGCATGTTGGGGGATATAATCCATTAAAAATCCTCCACAGAAAAGATGAGGTTTAAAGCCCCTCAGACTCTCACCTTGTTCAATACGTGTGGCCAAATAAAGCATTTCCCCTTGAGCAGCCAGCTGGTGAACTGACAGAGCTGCAAAAAGAGCACAAAGATGTATTATGTGCACATAAGACATGGTCCTGCTCCAGCTGAAGCCAATGACAAAAGGAAGTGCTCATATTTCAGCTTAACTTCTGAATCAGGTTTGCAGTCTTCTTAAAAGTGGTTCCATATGGCTTAATATTTTTCCACCAACTCTCTATCATATTAGAAGGGCAAAATATTTTCCACTGATGTTGAATTACAAACTTTATTATGTTGCCAATATCCCCATGAGATGGCTTCTTGCCACCCGGCTTGTAATTTAATGTCACTTTGCCATCAAGATTATATTGCCTTCAAGAACGTTTAAAGGAGAAAGATTAAAAATACCAATTCACTGATACGCTGAGGATATGTTCTTTTCCGTTTTGAAACTATTAACCAATGTTTCCTCCAATGTTCCTTCCTTTCTGTTTAATTCTTAAGCTTATCTCAGGTTTTCGTCAGCACTGAATTTTTATAGAGACCTGCTGCTGATAATGGTCAGACAAAGGGAATATTCTCACTTGTCTTAGGACTTAAGAAAGCTGCAAGCACTTATCAACTCTTTGTTGCATTAGAATATCCAAGACACACTGTGACAGGTCGCATAGTGTTCAGTATGAACCTAGTTGACTGCCTGTTGAAGTCAATAGCGTGACTCCCATTGAATAAGCATTGGATCAAGTCTTTTGTAAACATACACAACATGACCTACTTTTCTACTGGGGAGGAAAATATTTTCATTAACCGCCTTTCCCCCACCCCATCCCCCCAAAAAACTTGGGAATGGAATCAGTTATTACAGCAGAGTGCTTTAATAATCTAAAAGCAAACATTTAAGGTCTTGATCCTGAAACGTGCTTTGTACAGGCACAGGGGTCTGCCTATGTCAAGCTCACTGTGGGTATAACCATTCTGTCTTGGGGAAAGGCCATATTATACATACTAATTGATAACACTGTGTTGTTTGCCAGTGGCTATCCATTAAATAAATGTCCATTGTGCTATTCCTATTCACTGTTAGGTATATCCTTTCTGAGAAATCAAACTTTCATTCAGAAAAGGCCATTGTATGGTATACCTCTGTATTCACTTGCCAAATAGGAAAGGGGAAATTTTATCATTGAACTTCTGAGTTTAAGAGGGATGTATGCTTAAGATCTCAAACTGTGGCCATTTGTAGGGTGAAAGCTCTACTAGGTTATCAGTTTAAGAATTTTTTAAAAATTAATTAATTTTACAGTTTCCTCTGTCAGTGCATCTTCTGTCTCCTTGATTATAATTGCTACGGAGCAGAGACTGTCTGAATATTTATTGTATAACATCCAGGACATTGTTGGCACTTACCGATTAATTAATAAGTTCTACTTGCTGTACCTACACTGATAACAGATTAATAGGGTTAAAAAAAATCAAGTACTTTCATTTAAAGACTACAAAGAATCAGAAAGTTCATCTGTAAGGTCTTCAGCTCAAGACTTGGATACTTTTCCTGAAGATGTGCTTAGCTAAAGCGTAACTCATTGGCTTCAATACAGAGTGAATGGATGAAATTCTATAACCTGTGCTATGCAGGTCAGGCTAGATGATCTAATGGTCTCTTCTGGCCTTATTCTATGAAAGGTCCCAATGAAAAAGTCAAAACATCTGACAAGCAGTTATTAACTTACAATTCACAACATTTACTATATCACAGAATACTTACAATTTACAAGGAGAGGTGTTGTAGAGACCTCATTTCCCCTATGTTTGTTAGTTAAAGTAGTAGACTGTTTTATGGGCGAAAAATGTTTAGTTGTAGATGGAGTGTAGACATGTCTTACTTGAATTCCAGGAGAAGGGGAAGTATGGATGTTGCATTCAGCTAAATTCAACAGGGAAAAGATAATCGATTTTAGTGACTTTAAGAATGCTAAAAGGAAAGCTACAGATTCTAAATCAAACTAAGATACGTTAACGTTATAGAATATTTAAAACATGCATTAAATAAGAGTGATGGAATCTATTTCTTTCCACTATTAATTATATGTACAGAGTAATAAAGTGAAAGGGCCAAATTCATCCCTAAATCAATGATGCTCTAGGGATGAATATGGCCTACAATTATCCAAAGACCATAATGCAAATTTTCTACCACGTGTCTACATGAACTATGTTTCCTTGTTGGTACAGTTTCACCATTTCTTTAGCAAAACTACAACTGCATTGTGAATGATGTCTTATGACTATTGATCTAAGAGAAATGGAGACTTCCCAAATTAACTGATGTCTAGCTGTTATAGTGTGGGGAAGCTAGAGTCCTAAAGGTCACTCTATGCCGTGTTTTATCTGCACTTTGCAAGGGCTTATTTTCCTAGCTTTCCACTAGATGAGCATAGGAACAGTAATTTAAAATGATATATTATATACGTTGTACTTTGGATTCCAATTCTCAGGAGGGGCTATATTACTTCTGAGAACTTAGATTAGAAGCCACAAATAAAACAAACCCAAACACTTTAAATGTAGGAAGTCATAACTAGGATTAAGCTGCATTACTGGCTGAATTGATTTGGCATTAGTGTGCAATAGTAATTAAATTATTTGAGGTTAATTAACATGTCCAGTAACTCTGGAGTCATACTGTAAAGAACTTCTGAGTGCAAATTCAGGAAGAGAACTGATTAAAAAAGTGTGACACCCTGGGGCAAATGTTGTTCAAGCAAAATTACATTTTACTTGTAGGCCAAATAGCTGCAGCTGTGGTTACAGAGTTAAATGCCCTAACCTGGTGGCTGAACTGCAGCCAAATACAAGAGTGGGAAAAATAAGTCGGGAAACCCGTAATGAGTCAAAGCTTGTATTCATTATGGCAAATTGATTAGATTCAACACCATGACAAGACTGATCACTGATTGTTTGCTATAGTACAGAAATGTGAAAATTAAGTTTAAAAGCACAGATATTTAAAAAGTAACAGACATAAGCCTAGTTCTGCAAGCTGTTCTGGGTAAGCAGCCAAATGCCTGCACAGAGCTCCCCTCAACTTCAATGGGACTGCACACACAGGTATTAGGGTCAGCCCACATGGAACAGCTCACAGAATTGGACCCAGAATCACTAGCCACTTTCAAAAATAGGTGAAAATGACTCAACAAGGCAATTATTGCAATGACTGCAGGTCTAGCAGCATCATACTGATAAAACAAGATCAAAAGAAGCCACTGTCAGCGACAAAATAACTTAAAAGTTTATATAAATATTAGGGAAAAGATAAAACTCTCTAAACTTCCCCCAAAAGTGTATTAAAGCTAACAACCGATCTTGCAATTCTTTCAGTGGGGCACTGTGTGGGTACAAGAGTCTACGTGTGCAACACATTGCAGGGTTAGGGACTAAGCCATCAAAAGAAGATTATATTCTCAATGTGAGAGTAGTTTAATTTTTCCAAAAAGACAGACATCTGCCTCAGTGTAGACTCATGGTCTAAGTACATTTATGACTTTTCTTCGGTCCTGTTGCTTTAAAAAAAAGTATGAAAGATATGTATATGTATGTACTCTCAGGCGGGAAATGAGTTTTGAATTAAACCATTTTTGAACTGGATGTGTAATAGAAATGTTAGGGAATAAATTATAGAAAATTGCTAATGATTAAAACATCAAGAGGCTAGGCAAGATAGTTTTACAAGTCAGCTTGCATGATTTGCAATGGAACTTGCCTCCTGCACCTAAAATTTTCACAAACTTTAATGGGAGTTTTGGATGCATAAGGAATACAGGAATGGGCACTACTTATATTTCCCTATGCAATCTTTTGCAAATAGAAGACAGTGGCATAATCATCCTGAACTTTGCTTTTTAGTTTTAAAACCACTCTAGAATGTTAGGAAACTATATGAATTGATCTATAATCTTGAGGATAAGCAGCAAAGAAAATACTGAAAAGTGAAGGGGAAAGGGGAAGGTACTCCACACACAACTTGTACCATAAAGTTCAACCTTTAAATAAGACAGACGCCACTTCAAGGTCAGAGTTGACCTGGTCTTGAATATTTTTACTATCTTCTTCATTCAATGACTTCACAAACCGAGAACAGACATTCATATCAAATCTATTAGGCAAAATGAATTTCATTCCCATGGCGACACTCTGAGCTGGGCCTTCTTCGGTGGTGGAGTCAAGCTGATGCTCTACTTTAATGTCTGGCATGTGAGACAGACTATAGCTGCTGGTGCACTCTTCCACAATTATCTGTGCCCCAATATCTAGATTTGTTGAAGATGCCATGATTTCAATCTCAACTATGTAAAATGTTGCTTCATGGTTTCCAGTTGGTAGTGGTTTACTAGCATAATTTCCAACCAGTCAAGCAGTCTTTGAAGAGATCTGGACTTCAGAACAATCTACAATTGAACACAAATAATCTTAAGGTTTGAATACAATGTCACAACTTCATAATGAAATAAAAATACATTATTACTACTACCTTTAAAGTAGCTGCAATTATGTTACTATGGATACAAACTTCAGGCCAAATCACAAAATCTGTATTAGATTTTATTTAGTTTTTATTCAAACAAAATTCTAATCGAAGCAAACAACAATTGTACCTAAATAAGGATTTCAGGATTTGACCTTTTAATTACTAAGGTTACAGCCAACTCAGTGCAAAGAAATAAGACATAACATTATCGATAACAAGGGATTTTGCTTCTTTGACTATCATTTAGCTGTCCCCAGCTATTGCATGGAAAACGTGGTTTGAGGAAGCACTGAAAATGTGTAGTTTGAAACTCTGATTTATTACTATGTGACTGCCTGAAACACTCACCCTTGTGAAGAATACTTGTGAAGAAAGGATTACAGTAGGTGCATTTTATGACTCATTGAGGTAGGTGGTTCACTTTTTCCCACATGGACATAAGTGACTCACTAGAGAAAAAGAATCAAGACTGAGCACTAATGAGGTAGGAATCCTAGAATCAGCCACATCTCAGGAGAAGGCTTTACCTGAACTCTGTTGTTAATTTCTGTATTAAAGATACCCGAGGGTGGGGGAGAGGGAAAGAGCTTGGTCTTTTTGACTGTATACAGTGCATAAACTTTGCTCTAAAGCAGCTTGAGAAAAGCATCTCCTCATAGGGCCATATCTTGTAGGCTTCATTAAGAGCTTTGTCTCAGTAAGAACTCTAGGATTTAGGCCTAAGGCTACATACAGAAGGAAATAATTTTTCTTTGAACAGAAAAAAAAATGTTTAGAAAAAAAGTACCGTTTCAGTATTTGGTATTATTATTCCCCCCCCATAGCATGACTGTGTGTCTCAGAAAAAAAACTAATCCTGAGTGTAGCCTGCTGGTTTATAGTGAAACTGCAACATAATTATTGGGCCTGATTCTGATCCACTTATGGTTGTTTTACACTGTTATATAACTCAATTGACTTACAAAAATGTAAATCAAAAATATTTTTTCTGATATCAGGACTAGACACAATGTTGTTAAACAAAGTTTTTGGATTTCAATAAGCATGATAATTCATTGACCCATGAGAGTTAGGTGACTTCACATCTCACAGGATTGTATCGTACAACAAAGCCTAAATTGCCATAGACAGGATCCAATTAGTAAGTTAGCAAGAAACAGTTGTTGTCCATTATCGTACTGTACGTCACCTTGCAGAATCAAGATCTTAACAGATCATGGGTTAGGTGAAACAAGTGGCCATTCATTTCACTGTACCTAGGAAAACCTTTTCCAGCTAATTTGCTCTAAAAGGAATGTGTGTGAACTGCAATACATTCAGAGCTAATTCAAATATCTAACTTGTGTAGACAAAATCCAGACTATTATTAAACCAGAACAGAGTTCAGGACTCCAGTCTTCTCCTTCTTTTTCAAAATAAATAAATAAAAATGATAAACTCCAAGTGCTGGATCCTATAGGGAGGAAGAATGGTTTATGGGTTAGGGCATTCCCAGTTCTGTGTAATCTTGGGGAAGTCACTCATGTAAGTCTTCCTGTGCCTGCATAAAATAAGGATATTTCCCTAACCTGCGGGTATATTACAAGGCCTAATGTGTAATGTTTATGAGCTACTCAAAAACTGTCACGATCAGTACTAAAAATGCCTATAGGTAAATTAGACTGTGCAGAAGTACATGTTTAGTTCCTCCAAATTCAGAGTCTTCTGTCACTCAGTCTTTCAGAGAGAACAAAGATGAGGTGGGAAGGAAAAGGAAGAAAACAAAATGGAAAAAGATTGTAAACATAAGCACAGGGACCCTAAAATGGCAAGAATTTTTAATAATCATATGTTTGTTTTATTTTTATTGTATTTAGAATAAATAAAAAAGCACCCTCCCCAGATTGAATCCCCTACAATTATCTAAAATTATATAAAAAAATTTCAATTAAGTCATCTCATCCTTTGTCCCAAGCAATTAAATACTAACACCCCCACTGGACCGAACTTTAGTTACTGACTCTCTTCATAGGTCAAATGAAACAAGCACTGAAAGATGGTAAATCCAAGCTATTTCACACGGAGGCAGAAAGGCAGTCCAGAGTGCTGGGGTCTTTGTTATTATACTAAGGTGGAGTTGGCATCAGTGCCTCCAATGAATGATTACATCTGCAGCAGTGTATTATGGAGGTAGGCTAGATTTAGGTTATTTATGAGTGTGTATATATATATAAAAACCAACACCTTAAGATCTATCCAGAAGCCCACAGATACCAACTACAGATCCTGAGTATAGGAGTCATCTGATCGCTATTAGGAGTCCTGCTTATTAAGCAAGCAACCACTTTCTACTCCAGTTCCAGCTTCCCACTCATTTTAAGCGGTGACCTCCTATAAACCCGAAGCTCGAAGCGATAAAGACACTAGCTAATGGCAGCGGGATCCACACCCAGAACAAACGTTGTACTCGTTGGGCCACAGCTAAAGCAGCTGTTAATCTAGCAAGAGCCCCACGTGACAAGTGCTGGTTGCACTTCATTTCCGGAGACCTTTGTTGCCTTTAAGACAACGCCGCTGGCAGAGACTCACCCAACACTGCCTGGGGCGAACCCTAGGCCCGCTACCGCCACTTTAATACTCGGCCGCGAGCCTGGTGTCACCGTTACTCGCACAGCGAAGAAGGGGGTGGGGAGGGAGCTCTAGGCGCGAGCCGTGACAGGTCTCTGGGGCTGGACCTTCTCACCTGCGGCTCCTCGGTATTGTTACCGACGTTGTTGTTCTCGGTAACGTCACTTCCTCTCTGTTTACAGAATCCGGAACAATGAATTGTCTTCCAACCTCAAGGGCGCGCGCGTCCCGGAAGGGCGTTCCCATTTACGTTACCAATAACGCTCGGTGCGATTGGACACGATGGTGCCCTTTTTCTTTTTCTCATTGGGCCTCTCAAGAGGTCACGCGGGTCAGAGACGTAGGTGTGAGAGGGGACGCGCAGCGCTGCGTGACGCAGCAGTGATGACGCAGTTCTTTGGCGACAAGAACAACCTGATGCTCGATGGCAGCCGCCGTGGGACACAACGTGACTTCTGCCTGCTGAGGCGGTACCGGGTCCGGGCTCCTTCGTCCAGAGCTCTCCCAGTGACATCCAGTCGGGACAGAGGATCCGGCTCCGAGGTGGGGATCGCGATGGGAGAGAGCAGCGCCCCCCGCTCCCTCCAGCATGGCCCGGGAGGGAGCCGCGCCGCTCGGCCTGGAGAGCAGCCGGGCCCCGGTCTCTCCCGCCCGCCTCCTGAGGCTGGTGAGCTGCTGGTTCGTTCTGCTCCGCTCGGTGCTGTAGCTCCGCTGCTGGGTAACGAGCCCCTGTGCCTAGATACCCCCGCCCAGTGCAGAGCGCGGCGCCAGCCCGCCTGAGCCGGGCCCGACCGGCGTTGGGCTGCCCCGTCCCGTGTCCTTCAGGTGGGGCCTGCTGCTGAGCGACGGGGCTGCCCCTGTCCCAGACATCTGGCGGGGGGCCGCTACTGCGCGCACCGCTCCGCAGCGGCAACTCCGTAACTATTGGCCAAGCTGGAGTCCTGCTGTGGCGGCTGGGAGCGGGGCTGTCACAGTAGCGGGGAGGGGGATAGCCGGGGTGGCGTGGAAAGGTGTGTGTGTGTGGGTGGGGGGGGGTTATCACAGTGGTTGCGTTGTGCAGGCGCTGACTGGTGAGTCCTTAGGCTTGGTTTGAAACGTATCTATCTCCTGAGCAGGGCGCTGTGTTACTGACCTGTCTGTGTCTGTTGTGATGAGCCTGGATGGAAGCTAAGGTGAGCTCACGTGTGATCTGATCCAGCTTCAACACTCTAGATGTAAGGCTGCTATATTAACCTACTACATGCCCTGGCCTTACCTTCCCCACTGTCCCCTTCATACTTGGCCTTGCCCCCAAAACTTAAAATCAGGAGGCTGGATAAGATATTTCAGCACATTCATAATGGAATTTCACTTGCATTTTTTTATGGTTCAAATTTAAAATTTATTGTACACTCTTGTTTTTCAGCTGCACTTGCATTTAAAAAAAGAAATACCACACTTGCTTTACCGAGAGCATAACAGCAGGGGCTGCACTTGCTGATTTTGGGAACCTAACTATATGAAATAATGGCTAGTTATAAACCTGTAGTGGTTCAGTCATTTCCCAAGCTTGGTGAGAAAATCACACAAGATACTTTGTATTGGAAGAATTACAAGGTAAGAATGCATAGTTAATATATGGGAATATAATTTAAGTGTTTGTGTAGTAGTTTTTGCTTAAAGATTCTTGTCTTGATTTTATGCAACAGTATAAATGGCCAAAACTTAAAAACAAAAGACTTTCCTATCCATTGTTGTAACTGGACTATCTCTTTATGCACTCAAGTATGTATCTTACTCGTGTAATGAGTTTAAGTCAATATTTCAAGACCCCAAACTGACTTGAATCACAAATTGCTTCCTCTAATATATGCAGTTCGCTCTAATAAAATATGGTCACCTTCATTTATCTTACTGGCAATCATTACAATAAGTTAATTGTAGAAAGTCTTTTTAAAAATGAAAATGTATACCAGACAGTTTAGGTATAAAGTACATATGGGTATTTGAAAAGTACATATTTATACAATATGAGCATGTTTTGCATTTTGGCAAATTCCCTAGTAATGAAAGAACATAACGCTTAAAACATAAAATTAGAAACAAAAATTTTTTAGAGCAAAAAAAGGGAAGTAAAATTTTGGGAGTGGCAACTCATTTTTTTTAAAAATACAGCCATGATTTTTTCTGTTCTAATTATTTAAAAGGATTTTGTAATTCATTTTAGAAATTAGACAATGGTAGAGTATCCATGTCAAGCTTTCATGTCTTTTGTAAGACTCCTGCTAATAAAAAAAAAATTTTTTGATAAAGATTACATTTCTTTAATCTCACTTCAATTCATTTAGACTCCTGTTCAAATAAAGGAATTTGGTGCAGTGAATAAAATTGACTTCTCTCCAATTCCTCCACATAATTATGCTGTCACGGCCTCTTCAAGGGTAAGTTTTCATAATAAGTCCTATTTTGTTTTTCAATTAGTGTTGTATGAGAATGTACTAATTTAAAATTTGTGATATTTTTTATTTTTATTTTTTTATTTATTTATTAGATCCATATTTATGGTCGGTACTCTCAGGAGCCGATCAAAACGTTCTCTCGCTTCAAAGATGCTGCTTATTGTGCTACATATAGAGATGATGGCAGGCTGCTTGTTGCTGGCAGTGAAGAAGGTGTCGTTCGGCTATTTGATATCAGTGGAAGAGCAGCACTGAGGCAATTTGATGGTCACACTAAGTAAGACCACATGGATTTATTCATTGTGTATAAAAGCTTTCTCATGTGTAAATTTTATGATTTGAAATACCATCGAATACTTTGTGAAGGCGAAGACATTAACAGGGTTCAAAAAAGAACTAGATAAGTTTTGTTACCCTTAATTTTATGCGCCAATTAAAATTAGCATACATTAGTGTTTCTAATTTAACAAAAGGGAAACAAGGTTGTGGCCCGCCCTAAAGGAATTGCCAGGGTGTTATGGACACGTAAGCAGAAATTCTTCGAAAACAAAATAATGATTTATTTAAAAGAAATAAGTGGTTACAATGTTTTTAATAAAGCAAGAAAGAATACATAGAACATAGTAAACCACAATAGAATTACATTTAAAGAATCGTTTAATTAAAGCGGCGCACCAAAATAAAAGACACAGATTATATGGAATATTCCTATATCCCATCTAGAATTATAATGTAAATACATTTAAATGATGTTACAATCTGATATTACCATTCTGTGGCTGGGGGCCAACCAGTCACAGAATGGGATGGGATAGGTGTCACTCAAACACAGGCATCCGGCTTTATTGACAACCACACCAAGTCACTCTTTAACAAGAAATAATAAAATCAGACTAACACTCACACCCAAATCCCTTACAACTTTTGTATAGAATTACTAGGCTCTTACCGTATTTAAATCTTCCCTTTATATACAAAACAATACGTAATTCCCCTTGATGGAGGGGTGGAGTGGTATTAATGCATATTCTAAGAAGAAAGTCAGTATAGCCCACATTTTGTGTTCTTGAGCAGTTCAAAGTTTATATTAAAAGCACGGGAGTATCTAACTTGCAAGCTGTGGCACTATATTTTCCAGTAGCAGATATTTTGTTAGTCAGTTTATCATAGCACTTCAGATTAAGTGGACATATTTTCCTATAATAACTCTGCACTCAAAGTTTGAAGTACTTGTAGTAATCTTGGACATTGTTTGTTTTGGTTTCTAGAGCAGTACACGTAGTGGACTTTCTGTCTGATAAATACCGTATATTCTCTGGTGCTGACGACTATACTTCGAAGTTGTGGGATATTCCAAGTGCAACAGAAATTGTGTCATACAGCGAGCATACGGATTATGTGAGATGTGGCTGTACAAGTAAACTGAACACAGATCTTTTTGTAACAGGTTTGTTCTGTAAAATACTCATCTGTCTTGAATTGGACTCCTATAAGGAATTCAGAAAAGCAGTTTCTTCTTGATCTGGGTTCCACATCTAAATGGCACTAATTCCCCCCCCCCCCCGGACTGGGAGTCTCCTGCCTTTCATGTGTGTTCTCTCCTTGATTTTTCTGTTTAAAATCTTGATTATCTTAGCATTTATCTTTACAGGATGATTCTTGTTACAGTAGGACAGTGTGCTTGCCTCTTATGCCAGTTCTTTGTCTTTTTGTTTTCTACCGTGTTTCATAGTGAGTAGAACAGTACTCTAGTCCTTTAAGGTTAATGATTCTGCTAAAATACTTACTAGACTATTTCTTGAGGTTTTTAAGAATAAGTAAGTAAGCATTCCACTTACCTAATACATCAATGCAATTGAAAATTTTTGCTAAGACTTTAGGAAAAGATGGCACCAGTGAACATGGCTTGTGTGGTCTAAAAGTTGAAGTTTCAAAACTGGAACAAATGCAGTTTAAGTAGCTATTAGAACCAACTGCGACTGAGTTTCCTGATATTTTCATAATATTCTAGATTAAATAACATGCACACTTGCACAGAACACTATCCGTTATATTGTGCTATAAGAGTTATCTAACGTAAAGTTATGGTTATCGAACCACTGGTTGGACTATAGTAATGCTTCATTACATTTGAAAACTGACATTCCAAGTTTTTACATGGTATTAAACATTGTCTTCTAGCTCTGGTAGTTCTTGTGATTCTTGCTGCTAGAGTCCTATGAATTCAAGGGTGGGTAGGAAGAAAACTGATCTGAATGACACGGATTGTAAGGTCCAGTGTCTTGGTAGGACTAAAGGTGAGATCCTTATACCATCTGAAAGATGGAAATTCACTTATGTAAACTACTGGCTATTTAAACTGTGAAGCAAAGTGCTTTTCCGTTGGTCAGCAGTTCCTATGGACTTTGGTTTGAGATTGAACATTTTATCTTAGATGAGTGTGTGGGGTTTTTTGGTACTTGAAATGTTATGGATTCTTAAATTAAAACTGTTCACTGGGGTATTTTTCAGGTTCATACGATCACACTGTGAAAGTATTTGATGTACGGACAGAAAAAAGTGTTATGACTGTAGAGCATGGACAGCCTGTGGAGAGTGTTGTTCTCTTCCCTTCTGGGGGTCTTCTAGTCTCTGCAGGTATTTGAACAAAATGAAATTTCTTTCCTTTCTTCTCCCCCCTTAACTTGCAGCCACAGAGCGGGTTATCACATTTGTCATTGCTGAGACTGAAACACCAAGGCTGAACACTTCTACTGCGTTATGAATTAATATTGGATTGAACTCTCGATTGTCATGCAGCCATAAGTGGCCTGGTTCCAGCTGTCTGAGATCCCACTATAGTAGTGAATTTGCTGTCTGTCCCAAGAGCTAAACTGAAGGAGTAGGTAGCAGGAGAGGGTCTTCATCTCTGTAGTCTGCTCCCACTTGCTGTTAATCAAAACTAAAACAAGAAACCTTTAGGACTGGAAACTGACTCTCATTGGCGTAGTGCCATATTGTGCAAGGGTGGAAGAATGGGATAAATTGTTTCATGGGACAAAGATTATTCTTGAAAGATGTGACTTTTTCTCCCTTGATCTGAAGAGCTAAGAATCTTCATCTTCTTCAGGGTCTTTCCCCCCTCCACCCCCCATTTGCTTGAACACAAACCGAAGATCCCCCAACTCCATACTGAGCCTCCATAATATTCTTATAGAGGGAATTTACAAGTTTTCTCCTTTTTAACATCTTTAATAGACCATGATTGACGCCCACAGCTGCTATACCCTGCGTGATACAATATTTTTCTCCCAGTTGCTTCTAGAGGAAGATCATGTCTCCTATAGAATATAAACTCAAATTGTTTTTGTTTGTTTGACAGGTACTTATGTCATAATCATAAGTGGACAAGGGTGGAGGCAGTAAACTTAGTGTTAAAAGGAAACCATGACTTTTTGCTAGTTTGTTCTTTTGTGCTCTTAACTTGAAAATGTATGCAAAGAAGCTTAAATGTGTACATGTCAAACTGCTTTGCATGTGTTTCCTGTTTATAGGAGGCCGGTATGTTAAAGTCTGGGACATTCTAAAAGGAGGGCAATTACTAGTATCGCTGAAAAATCACCATAAAACTGTAACCTGTTTATGCCTCAGTAGCTCTGGGCAAAGGCTGCTCTCAGGATCATTAGACAGGTTAGTATCTTTCACTTGATCTAACTTTTTTTTTAGGGGGGTTTGTTATTTTTAAATTTGGGAAAAACACATTGTAGTCATGACTGCTATAGATCAAGGCAGGAGACTTAGGAAAACACCAGACTAAAGTAATAAAAGCAATATTTTTCATACTAATACTTCAGTTACTGGTGCAAGTAACTTTGAAACACATTCTGGGGCTTTGTTCTACCTTTAATTGTGCACTCGTAATTCCCATTGTCTTAAGTGGCAGATGAATAAATCATTCTAAGGGCCAAACTGATTTTTCACCAAATTGCTATTCTGTTTCCTGAAACTCCAAACTTAAATTGCCCCCCCATGCAAATTGCTCCTATTTTAATATGAAAAGAGAGCTATACTTACTTACTAGTGCCTCTGATTTCAGTGTAGATCAGAGTCCTCTCTTGCTAATAATCCTCACTCGCACCTTACATCAAAAATGGCAACCTCCACCCCACTCTTTATTCATATTAGCACTTGTTCCCTACCCCCAAAAATGGCTGCCCTGGTCCTTACTGTCTACTCTTGATCCCTGGATTGGGTCACAGTTTCCCTTGGAGCTCTTTTGCTGAACTATCTCCTCTACTTTCTTCTGAGTATTTCCTTCTAACTCACTAGCAAGAGGGGTCCAAACCGGCAGAGGGAAGTACCTAGTGCAAGAAGAGATTAAAAAGATAAAAGGTTCAAATGATTGAGCCATTGTTTCTGGCTTTTCCTTTGGTGCCTAGGGAAGGCAGTAGTACCATGACACTCAGTTCATGTTTGAAAAGTTATTTGAAAGCTAGAAATTGAAATATTATTTTAAATAAAAGCTTAGTTTCTGCAGAATCTGCATATTGTAGACCAACCACGTAAATATATCGTGGAGGCCAGGTCTGGACCATGAGCCAGATGTTTGAACAACTATCTGATGGTACAGCAAGTGTAAGAGTTAGAGTATGAAATCTTTCTGCAGGCTAGAGAGCTGAAGAGACCAGTAAAAGTAGAATCTGTTGTAGAATGAAGCAACTTTTATGTAAAATTTATTGAAATCTCTTTAGATGGGTCTGTGACATTTGTAAGAGAGGTGAAATTCCTGTAATATATCTAGACTGAGACATGGAAATGTAAAGTTGTAAATAAGTTGCTTTTCTATGCAGGCATGTGAAGGTTTACAGTACAACCTCCTACAAAGTAGTCCACAGCTTTGATTATGCTGCATCAATTCTGAGTCTTGCATTGGCTGTAAGTATAATATAAAAATTATTTTTTTAAGCTCTTTGGGAACTGGTGTATTAAAAAAAAAAAAGTGGTTTACATAATTGATTTTAGCTTTTGTTGCAATCTCTAAATGTCAGAGGGATGCTATGTGTGTGAGGATCACTAAATTAATTCTACACATACAAGTATTACCTGGAGACTTTGAGTATTATACATTAGGCTGCCATAACAATCTATTGGCTTAACATGCTGTCCCGCAGCTGAGTCTGGCACTGGTCTTAGCAGTGTACTCTGAGCTGGGAGTGTCTTGAGCAGTGTGCTCCCCCAAGGAGTGAGTGATTGGGAAGGGAATGTTGCTGTGTTCTGACCTTCACTTTATATAGAATGCTGAACTCTTTCTTGTTGGGGAGCCTTCTGCAGCTCCAGCTGGAAGTGGACCAGTTGTTGAAGCTAGTCAGCGGTTGTGGGAGGACCTGCACCAGGAGCCTTTTAGAGCCAATCTGGTCTGGGGAGACATGGATAGAATCAAACAATTCATCTGCCGAAACCTTCCTCACTCTCCATGCAGGCTTCCCCTGTGATGAAGGGTTAAGGATAGAGACATTAGAAACTAGTTTCCATAGGAGGAGCTATGGACAAACAACCTCCTGGCAGGGAATGCAGGAGCTGCCTGACAGCTCACTCCTACTGCAGGCAGAGCTAGCTGTGGCTGCTCTCCTGTCAGAACTTCTGCAGAGGAGGAAGGGAATGAACTGCTTGGCAAGCCATCCCTTTACCTTCCCTGCCTGAGAGTCAAGGGAAGAGCCAAATTCTCTGCTTGGTGGGGCCGAGAAGGCTGGTCAGACACAGCTCCCTTCTCCCAGCAGTGGTAGTTCAGAGGGCCACCCTGATAGCTGGTAGAGAGTCTGGCATCAATTGACTACCTCTTCTCCCTTCCCATAGCCCTCCCTCCCCCCTTCTCTGGCTCTTCCAGAGGTCTGCTTGTCTTGACCCCTCACAGCTATCTCTTGGGGGCCAGAGGGGAAGGGAGGTATGAGTCTCAGGGAGTCTGGTATTTAGATAAATATGAGCCCAAAGAGTCAAAGATGCTAACATGACCCTGTCACTGTACAACATTAACAGTTTTAAACAAAGGTCAAGGTTCAGCGTATAGAGACCTCAGCCTGTTTAGTACCATGGGAAACATAAGAACTACCATACTGGGTCAGAACAATGGTCTGTCAAGTCCAGTATCCTGTCTTCCATCAGTGGTCAGCACCAGGGATTCAGGGTGAGTGTACAGAACAGGGCAGTTTTGGAGATATCCACCCCGTTTGGCTTCTGGCAATCAGAGGTTTAGGTTTGCCGTGAGCATGGGGTTACATTCCTGACTATCTTGGCTAATAGCCAGTGATGGACTTATTCTCCATGAACTAATTTAGTTCTTTTTTTAATCCACTTATCGTATACTTTGAGCCTTCACAACATTCACTGGCAATGAGTTACACAAGTTAACTGTATTGTGTGAAGAAATGCTTCCTCTTGTATTAAACCTGCTGCCACCTGTCATCAGGTGATCCCTGGTTTTTGTATTGTGGGAAAGGGTAAATAGAGAATTTGTTTTCCCCCACATCATTAATGATTTTGTAGATCTCTATCATATTTCCTCATAATCATCTCTTTATTAAGACGACCAGCCCTAATCTTTAGTCTCTCCTCTGGGAGTTGTTCCATTCCCGTGTGTGTCCAAAAATTGTGCTTAGATCAGCAGGCCTTAGTACTTTGGGGTTTTTATCAGACCTGATTCATACAAAATATATTAACAATGTTTATATAACCTGAGAACTCTGCCTGCTATGGAAAGCTTCATCACAGCAAAAACATTTGGTTACTTACTCAATTTCTTGTTCATTTTAGCCTGAAGATGAAACTATAGTTGTAGGTATGACCAATGGGGTACTAAATGTGAGACACAGAAAACACGAAGAAAGCAAAGAACGTTTTCCAAAGAAGAAACGGCCAGGATACAGAACCTTTGTAAAAGGAAGAAACTACATGCCGAAGCAGGTATGGGGGAGAGGAAGAAGCGTGTGTGGTAGCTGCATTCTGTATAACTCTTCAAAATAAAAATTGCGCTTATTTTTTAAAATCTATCCATCTGATATTAGTATGAAGGGTTTTAAAGGTAATGATCTAACTAGCTGTGCTGACAACTGTATTTTTAACATGACTTTCCAAATACACCATTTTTTTTTTCCCCCTGAAAACTTTCCCAGAACTCTGATAAGAACAGAAGGCACCTGGACAGCAGATTGTAGTATCTGGAAAAACAATATAAAGAAATTGAGAAGTAGTGTTAGTGCTAACAAAACACTTAAACATGTTTGCTCTATCCTGAACTGTCCTTTCAATTCTAGGAGGATTTCTTTGTCAGTAAACCTGTGAGAAGTCACTTGAAAAAGTATGACAAACTACTAAAAAGCTTCCAGGTATCCAAGGCTCTTGATGTAGTACTTGAGGTAAGGCCATTACTGCTTTGTGCGTCAATACTCAGTGCTTTCATTTGAAATTTATATTTACATATTATGAAATAATATAACTTTGAGACAGGCCTAGAAGGGGAAGAAATCTCTCTTGTGTACATAGACCTGCTTATGCGTATGTAGGTTTCATTTCATGTTGAGGATGAGCACTGGTACTAAACTCTTTACATACACTTAGGCCCGTAACAGGACGCCTGAAATTACAGTTGCAGTCATGCAGGAGCTAAATCGCAGAGGAACACTGAAAAATGCACTTGCAGGACGAGATGAAACACAACTTAGCATCCTCCTGGCTTTCTTGATAAGGTATCACTCACCTAAATTACCTCTGACAAGGCTATTTCATCAGGCAGATGTTTCTTGTTGCCAGCTTTTGCCACTCTTTTACCTGCAGACACCTCTTTCAAGACTGTTGGAGTGAAACCTTGGCCCCACTGAAGTCAACAGGAATTTTGACCTCAGTGGGGGCACAAGCTTAGAATTTACCCCTACCGTTGTTCACAATTACTCTGTGTTCTTAATGGACTTGTGCTTATATGGTAACTACACTGCCTTTCATTTATAAAATGCATGTTGATCAAGTTTGCTGCTCTCTTTTTAGAGGAAGTCTGAGACCACCAAAAAGAGGATGAGGTTTCTTTAAACTTGCCTTCTTACCCCTTTGCCTGCAACCCTCCCACTCCACCTTAATGAGTCCTGTTGTCTGAAGCTTGTGTTTTATCTTCCTGTATTTAAAAAGAAAATTGCCACCTTTCCAAGTCCCAGTGCTTTCCTCATTGAGCGGTTGCCACGTGTGACTTCCTGATTATCCCATCCCTTGGACTGCTTTTACCAGTTGTCTGGTTAAACTTTTGTGTGGTAAATTGTACATGCGTATAGGGAAACTGTTTATTCACACTGGTGGTGTGGGAGTAAATGGCTAGTATCTTAATTTTATACCTCTCATAGAACTGGAAGGGACCTTGAAAGGTCATAGAGTCCAGTCCCCTGCCTGGGTTTTTTTTGTTTTGTTTGCTCCAGATCCCTAAATGGCCCCCTTAAGGATTGAACTTACAACCCTGGGTTTAGCAGGCCAATGCTCAAACCACTGAGCTATCCTTCCCCCCTCCCCCCATTTTAAGAATTGTTTTGTCTCTGCAGGTATGTGGTTGAGCCAAGATTTGCCCCTATGCTGATAAAAGTTGCAGAAATGATTATTGGTAAGTAGCAACAAAGAGTCCTGTGGCACCTTGGAGACTAACAGACGTATTAGAGCATAAGCTTTCGTGGGTGAATACCCACTTCTTCAAATGAATGTTCTGTAAGTACTGTACCAAAAGGAAACTCCTAGTAATCCAAGCTAAGCTTACGCTGTTCCAAAGAGTAAAGTTCTACATTTTGCCTAACGACCCAGCGTGGAATTTAAAACTGATATAATAAAAAGCCAGTGGTCAAAATAGAGATCAGCAAATTCCAAGCTTTATTTTTTTCTTGCCAGATGATTGATCAGACTGTACACTTCACTTTGATTAATGTTCATTGTACAGAAGAGCACCCGTCCCAGGCTCTGAATGCCCTCAGCACTATTTTTATGCAGTTGTGTGGTATGACTAGCTTCCCCAACTTCTCCCAGTGCATAATACCACAAGTAGTAAACATTTAAACAAAATTTAAGCCCCCTTCAGGCTTACTAGCATGAAAGTTACTATAAGATATATCAATAACTTTTCAGAAGGCTATTAAAATATTCTCCATCTTGCCACGAAGCAAGACTTATCAGAAATAACTATATATTTAAAAAATAAAATATATGCTTATAAAATATGAACCAATGGATATCCGCACATAGACTAACTTTAACTTTCCTTCATCCAGATATTTATCTCCCTGTGGTTGGACAATCGGCAGTCATTGATAAACAATTCTTAAGACTCCAAGAGATCATAGAAAAAGAAATTGATTACCAGGCGGAACTACTTGAAGTTTTGGGAATGATGGATGCACTGTTTGCTACCATGACGAGGAAAAAGGCCACTTCTCTAGAGGAGAACAAAACTCATGGTATTTTGAGGGTTCCGGAACAAGCTACAAGTAACTAACTGTCTAATTCCATACGTCATATTTGTGGAAAATTCATTGGATTTAAAAATCTACGAAGCTTTCCCCAGATAACTTTTTTTCTGTAGCAGCTTTCAAAATACTACTTTGCTTCAGGAAATGGAAACGACTCCTGCAGGATGTGTTTTGAAGAGACTGAATTAATGATGACAGAAAGAGCGGACCCTTTCAAGACAGACTTTCCATGTAATTTTTTGACCACAAAGATTTTAAAGTTTTATTCCAAAGCTATTTAACTACTAAAATACATCTTGTGGATCAGTACAAAGTGAGACTTTGTTCCTCCAAATACGTCTATGAACTTCATTTTATATTGCTCCTCTTTTCTCCTCTTCTTCCCCCCCCCCCCCCAAAAAAAAGATTGTTTAACTTTAATATACATCAATCCTGTAAGAATTGGTATATCTCAAATCTCAGGTACTTGGCCACAGGAATAAAACCAAGTATGACTTTGACATAGCTTGACTGCATTGTGGCGTTTTTTTCATTCCCTTTTCATTACCCAGTTCAAATCTTTGGTATCTTAGTAAAAAGCAATTCTCTCTCTCTCTCTCTCTCTCTCAGAAAATAGTGGACAACAGTGAAGCATTTTTTAGGGGTACAGGAAGAGTCTGAGTTCAGTATCTTTACTGAAATCCTTGCAATGTATTCACTTTTGAAAAGTGAATGCTAACTCATAAGAATTCTAGGCAAAATAGGTTATTTGGATTGAGTTTTTGCCTTAAAGCAACTTAGGTTTATTTATTTTTTTAAACTAACTAAATTACTCCTCAGTGAGGAAATCCTCAGTTACAGTTCCAGCACCAATATTAACTTTTGCTCCTTCCCCTGCCACTCTCCCAATATCAGCTGAATCCCTTCACTTGCACTTAAATCTGCCTTATTGCTTTTATGAGTTGTTTGTTATAACCTTGCACCCACCCTTTAAACTTCTCTCAAGTGTTGGGGAAGGGAATTTTTGGTCTATATTGCCAAGAGGCTTCTGGTGGTCAATAGTGCATGTGTGTAGGTTGTGGTGAGGACACAAGTTGATTTCTAACATGCATCTGCCCTAACCTGGATTTGGAGGGTCACTGGGATACAATATGATTTGAAGCCTACAAAGGGTGATACACATGATCTCGGTGTCTTGGCCCGATGTGGCAGATACAGATATTAGTGGCAGAAATAAAATGAAGTTCATGTAGATTTTAGCTAAAATCCTGGGTATCTTGCAGTTTAGAGCGATTGAATCTCCAGCCTGTGTACCCATTAACATGTGCAGGCCAGTGTGTATTTTACTTATGGATACTAAACAGGGAGGGTGAAGGAGAGAGGTTACAATTGATACTGGAACACTGAAAACTTTGACTCCTAAGCATTAATTAATTAATTAGTTTATTTTTAAAAACATTCCTGGAAACAGTGTCTGAATGGTGACTTCATTTTTTATTTGGAATTTAATATATTATAACATTAATATGTTAAAGTAATTAATCCAGGTTCAATCACCTTAGAGACTTCATGTGAGTTGCAAGGGCTGCTGGCACACAGGTGGTGGGATGTGTAATTTTACTCAGGCCTCTTAGTCCATGAAGTGCTCTTGAAAGTTTGCTCACATGATCCCTCTGGTGGGTGAATCTGAATGCAATTTTGAGTCACAGAGGTGGAAGTTTCTCTTAATAGCCAGATGTTTTACTATCTTAATAGGAAAAACATCTTGGAAAGCTTTGGTGATGTCCAGCTTCAATCTCCTGTGTAAAGAAATCTGGGCCTATGAGGCGGGTATCTGGAACTCCAAGACCTGCTATTATATGGATAGCAGAGCCACAGGAAGAAGTGCAGTTAAAATGGTGGAATAACCACTAGCCCTGAGTTGGAAATTTAATGTAAAAGAAGAATTGGTCATCTGTGGATGTCTTAAAGATGAGCTTGCTAAAGTAAAACAGTGGAGGTAGAGTGTAATTAGAAATATGTAATTAATGGAGAAGCATGGCTCTCTTGTACTCCTAGTGATATGAGACCTTAATTTTAGGAAGATTACTAAAATAACCTTGCAGGCTTTTGATAGAATTTTTTACTGGTACAAGATTGTACGATCCTAAGATTCATGTCATCTTGCTTGAGATGAGTTTCTCTCTAATGGTAGGTCAGGTGGCCATTGCTATTCTGACACAACAGCACTGACAGAAACTGGGAGTATCTGGGTGGTAATCAGGTTCACTGCCTCATATGGCATCAAGTTTTAGCTGGCTGGGGGTGTCTAATGTGATGGCTGCACCCACAGCTACTACTAACCAGGATTGTGTTCATGCTGTCTGTTCTGAAAATTACCCCAGGATTTGAGAGACTACCTTTTTTTTTTTTAAATACATTTACATTTTTCTGTGAGGGTCTGTAAAGATGAGGGTTATTTGTTACCAATAGGGCTTCTGTAATTTTTCTAATTTTAGCATTATAATGGGAGAGACTATCAAACTGAACAAAAGAGAATAAATGACTGAAACAGATATAGACAAGTAAATATCTACAATGGTCTCTTTATGTATGCTAGCATATGTGCTTATATTTTTTACAGCACTAATGCATTGTTGATTGCAAATGTAAGCATACTTAAAGAGAAGCTAAGGTTCTCATAATACCATTAATTTTCCTGAAGTGCATGTACTATGACTAATGTTCTATGCCTAACAATCTAGTAATCCAAAAACATTAGAATGCAGTAGGATGGCTTTAAATAGCTATAAGAACCTTAACCATGTGTATGTGTGGGGCTTTTCTCACCTTAAAGGGGGCAAGAGGAAGAAACCTTTCATGTGCATGCTCCCTGGACCAGCAGGTCACTTTGGTATTACCAGGTTGGTATGTCCTTGAAATGCACAATTAATACACTTTCACCAGTCCAGTTGTTATACAAAATGATCTGATTTTAGGAAGGCTTTTGATGGGATGTGTTCTCAAGTTGCCACTTTAAAATAGCTTTTGCATCTTATACCTTTGGTCCTCCCAAAGATGGATAATGTGGAAGGATGACAGAAGAGAGGCTGCCAAGTCCCTTCTCATGCACCCAGAAATGGTGCTGGGTTTGTGGGTAAAGAGTTAACTTGTCTCTTCTCATTCCTTTGACACTTGAAGTGCAGGGGAGGAAGGAGTGGGTGGGACTGCCCCTCCCCCACCCCCATTTTACTAAAGCAAGCATTCCTCAATGACTGACTTCTCTTTTTTTGTGGAGCAAAAAAACCAGACTCCAATGAGAAACCGCAGAACTGGAATTAATTTGCAAACTGGACGCCATCAAATTAGGCCTGAATAAAGACTGGGAGTGGATGGGTCACTACAAAAAGTAATTTTCCCTCTGCTGATACTCACACCTTGTGAACTGTTCAGAATAGGCCACTTCCACCTTAATTGAAGTGACTCGTTAGCACTGATCCCCCACTTGGTAAGGCAACTCCCATCTTTTCATGTGCTGTAATATATATATCTGCCTACTGTATTTTTCACTCCATGCATCTGATGAAGTGGGTTTTAGCCCATGACCGCTTATGCCCAAATACATTTGTTAGTCTCTAAGGTGCCACAAGGACTCCTTGTGGTTTTTGCTGATACAGACTAACATGGCTAGCACTCTGAAACCCATCACAAGTAAATATTTCACAAGTACAGCTCAACTTAGGTTACCTTATTAGCCTCAGGGTTTTTATTTTAACCCAAATATTAAGACCTTAGATGTATCATGCTGCTTGATCTAGAGCAGTTTCACAAAGTGTGATCTGTGGACTACTGCTAGTCCATGGAACACTTGCCAGTGGCCTCTAGAGCGCTAGCTGGTTATGTCGAGTTTGCTCTTGTTTACAGGAGCTAAACTTCTTTAGGTTAGCTTAAAATACATTACTGCTCCTCCTCCGTGTGAACAATTCCTGTAGTTGCCACATAGATGTGTTATCAGTGCAATTGCAGCAGTGGTGGTGATTTGAGAAACCTTGCCTTTGAGTTCTTTTTAGAATTAGCAATATTAAGGCCTAGTTTCTTTTGCCAGCAAAATGGAGTAAAATGGTGATGTCACCACAATGGCCTGAAACCCCAAACTGATACTTTGTTCTCTAATGTGGGCGTAGAGTACAAGCAAGTGGAGAAAGGGACAGAATGGTAGATATAAACTTGGAAAGATGCAGCTCAAGTTTCAACCTACTGTGATCACTTTCTCCCAGTCCATTCTTCCAAAGAGTCTTCCAGCAAGAAGAGGAAAGTAGGAACCTGATATTTATATAGGAAGTGTTAAAGCCTGTGTGAACCCAGATGCAATGGAAAAATGGTTGGGCAGCAAGGAGGAGCGGAGAAAGGGCCTTGGAAGAGAGGAGGTTGTAAAACTTAGCTGGATTAAGACTGGAAATTAGGGTGAACTGTCTTAAATTGTTTTTAGCTAAAGACAGTAATTGGCAATGACATCACTTATTTATTAAAGGGTGTAAAAAGTAAACTCTCTTAAAGGGTTCATTGCTAATACTTATATGACCACATTAGAGCCAACCTGTACAGGTCTAAGCACTCCTGGGTTTAGCCTGTTTGTAAGTATCTTGATCAAATGCTTATAAATGTTTGGTTACTGTTTAGATGTAGTAAAATTGCTTATTAGTTAGGCTTTTTAGCAGAACCAGCCCACAATGTTTTGGCACCTGAGGAGGGGAGCTCAGATGACACCTCTATACCCCCTCGCTTGGGCCAAAACTTTGAAAGGTCTCAATTCTGCCTTCCTGTTCTTCTCCTCTCATGGTACTGCTCTGCTACCTCCCCCAATAAAGGAGAACTAACACTTAAAATTTTTGAACAAGGCATTTTAAGTTAACACTTACATTTGCTGTTCAGGCATTTGAAAGTTAACTTTTCTTGTCTACATAGTAAACACTGGCATTTTTATCTGTTTGAATAATCAAAGTGGTGCTTTCCGTGCCTTCTTGGTTGCAAAGATTTGAACTGCTTCCTGCTGAAGGTCCACAGTCTGGGCCAGCTCATGCTCTATTGAGATGGTTGCAAGGCCGACCAGCAGGATTGGGTCATTGTGGAGCATAGATGTTTTTTATTAACTTCAGCTTGGAGAAGCTGCATTCTCTACTGGCACCTGTTACAGGAAGTGTTAGAAGTATGCGCAGAGCAAAAAAAGCATTTGGAAAGAGGGTGGTCATCTTATTTGTGCACATATATTCCAGAACTGCCTTTGGAGTTGATCCTGCTGAAATGTATCTTGAAAGAACTTTCAGTTCATCACCAAAATCACTTGCATCAATATCACGCATGTCATCATGTGTCAACAGTGTCTCTAGTGTCCTGCATTGCTGGTGTAGGTCTTCTTCAGGTATAGTGAGGAGTTTTGGAATATCATACAACATCCCAAATACACTGCTGTGTTCCTTGAGCTGCATGAAATGTTCTTCAACTGACTGTATTGCATAATCTAGTACCTGGTTAAAGAATTCAACTTT